CAGGTTGCTCGAATTATAGTTGGCATCTTTCTTGTAAATAAACTGAACGAAACGGAGCAGGGAAAGATTCGATTGTTTTAAAATTCGTGTCGAATTCTACGTTCGAAGGTAACTAATTAATTTTTCGTTACATGACGGAATCGTTTGTTTACGTTATATAAGAGATGCAACGAGCATTTTGTAAATACTTAAATCTGGTGTAACCAACGACTAAACGGCTATTTGTTGCAAGAAGTTTATTTTTTTCGATTTTTTTTTTTAAACTTATCGTAGGTAACTATAATTTGAACAGCCTGTATATGTATATATATGCACATGTATACGCGATACGTATGCTAATTCTTCCGCGTTGAGAGAAAACGTTTCGTTTCCGTAAACTTGACGCGGATAAGTAAGTGCGCAGTATAATACGAGCGTAGCGTACAGTGATGCATTTAGATTTTTTACACGTAAAGGCGAAGCCTCCTGTGCCGTTTCGTTGAAAATTTTCCTGTTTGTAAACGCGCGGATCTACGACGCCACGTGACACAGTCCACGCCATCGATCGCAATTTCTCTTGTTTCGCGTAGCGACGTATGTTTTACAAAATCACAGAGCGAAAAGAACCGAAAACAAACTGTAAACAAAAAAAAAAAAAAAAGAAAATGAAAACGAAACAATGACGATACGTTTTACAATTTAAAATTCAGAGGCAACCCACGCACGTGAGTTGCACATGGTAGCGCGCGAACGGAGACGCCATTCTAAGATTTCTCGAAAAAAAACTGGAGACATGTAAATACATAGAGATAATGCCGTAACTACGAAATTATATGAATAAAATATTGAAAATGTGTATCAGCCTGTTTCTATACCATCCAGCGGTAATTGTAATTCGAAAATTCATTAAACAATTAATGATTCATTAAATTTTAACGTCCGGTGGACGAGCACCTTGTATATTACTGTACGAGAGATTGCATCGCCATCTGCGACAGAACGCCCAACTTTGTCGAGAAATGACCGACCTGAAAATTCGGAAAATCCTCTTCACATGGATGGCGGTCAGTTGAGAAATTATTCACTGAATTAGTATTGATAGGCAAACAGTTCTAGTGTTGCGTAAATACATGTGAGTTGACTATGGAAGAGATTAAAAATCTGAATCTGTCGGTAACGTTGCGAATGACACGAAAATGGTAATGGGGTTTCGTGACCCCATAAAAATAGGCTGCAAAAGTACATTGGATGAAGGATCTACTTCTATACCACATCTGTGACGATACTCTAGAATCTTTGATGAATCAATGAGAATCAAAACTAACCTAGCGAAGAAGCTCTATATTTATGATGACCTATGCAAAGCGGATCGCAGCCAATTTGCTAATATTATTCAGTTTTTAATTAATAATTGCATTACCCGGCTGAGAGTGATACGATTATTAATTAAACGCTAAATGATATTACCCAGGTCTCACCACGTGGAGGTTGCTGCGAATGGAGACCCGCCCTAACCGATTCCCAACCACCCTCCATTAGTAAAGATCATTTGTGACCAGTGATCATGGCCGAAGAAGCAATAAACGAAAAAAGTACAACCAACGAAGGAAACAATCAACGAAAGAGTTTTTTGAGAAAGAATTTGCCTAACTAAAAATCTAAATTCGTTTACATCCTACCTATCTAACCATCTAACAAAATGCATAGAAAATATATTCTTCCCTGTTGATACTTCGACGAAGATTTCCTGAAATGTACTGTTACATTCTACCTAACTATAAATCTAAATTATTGAAACATAAACTAAGGAATTTGAAACAAAATACATGAAATACATTCTTCTTTCTTCTATCTTCTATTTGTCCCACGATGATTTCCTGAAACACAAACAAAGCAGTATCAAACAAAATTGTAACAATTCTTAATTGTTGCTTCTATAAACCTAGAACTTCCATAGGAATATGCTCTGTAACAGAAACTTGTTTAATAGATTAGTAAGAGGACAAACAAAAATTTGACACATGCAAGACACATATGCCCAACACCGAATCCGTAAAACTACAAATACTACAACTACAGGCAAGTGCAGTGACAAAGTAAAAATGGTACATAATATACGAGGTTACTTTGACTCTAAAATGTATTCGTCGCGAAATATCTTCTTGCACGTCGATCTAATGATATATTTTAATAAGTAAAGAAAGACTTTGGGTATCTTCGATATCGAAGATACCCAAAGTCGTCGACTCGATTATGAAAGTGAATTTAATTATCGAAGAATGTAAAGAACAATCGGAAGCTACTAATTTGACACTCGTTCTAAAATTAATATAATTATAAGTATTATAAAAGATATTAAAATCATGACTCTACTTTCGATTGATATTACGATATTTGTCATATTAAAAATTGCGGCGTGTAAAAACATCGCACGCCTAAATAAAACGCGACGCGACACGTGCTCATAGCGTGCAGTGAGTGTGGGTATCAGATTGATCCCCCCCGGCCTTGATTATCAGAAAAGCAAGTCGCGCCCCTGACCCACGTCTATCGGACCTCTCTACGTACAACCGCCGGGCCCTGGAGGACACATGATCACAACAGGACCCGCTTAGTACTCGAGAACGGATATGGGTCAAGGACTCTCACCGGAGGTCATTCTCTTTTCCGTATAAAGAGGAGAATATATGCGCTCGGTGAGGCCCCACTTAAGCTGAACCAAGCTGCACCGGGGTTGAAGCGGTAAGAGCTATCACACCTACTACACAGGCGTCACATGTTTCATTCTATCAAACAGAGGTGATCGAGCAAAAAACTCTCCGGTCCTTTCGGTCGAGACATAATCTCGGAAAGCGAGAACCAGAGAACGAGCGGACGAGAGAAAATGAACTATTCATATATGTATATGTACTCATTATATATTCATTTTAAAATGAGTGTCAAATTAAAAATGAATCTACTATGACATTTGTCGTCTTAAAAATCGCGGTGTGCAAGAAGATTATAATTTTAAGCAAAAGGTACTAACTACGCTTGCCAAAGAAAGCACGTATACAACCAGTTGTTTTACCCCTTTGCCTTACGATTTAATTTCCAACTGTGCCAAAAGCGTCAGCAAGGTTTGGCCCGGTAGACTTATCACTTCTCTGAGACGTCTTGTTCATGTTTGGCCCGGTAGACTCATCACGTCTCTGAAACATCATTAAGCTAAGGGGTTAAAAAGGAGGTTTTTAAACACTGAAAAATGACCTATCAACCTATCACCTAGATTGAAAATAAAAATATATCCTGCAATATTATACATATCGAAGCAATCACATAAATTCGAAAACCAATGTAAAAGTAGAAACGGAGAAAAGGAACATTCATAATGACCAAATAAAATCAGATCGATAAATAAAGTTGAATTCACATCAAACAAACAAATAAAAATAATAAAATATAAATAAGTGGAGTGGACTTACTACTTGTTGTCAGTACATAGGGTAGTTACCACTGGATCAGCTGTAAAATAAGAAAATATTCATATTATAGTAACGTCAGTTAGACAAGCAAGGCAAAATCAGTTCATTGAAGCAAAATTAGCATCAAACGATAGAATAGGAGAGGGGAGAGAATTTTTAAACAGTTCTTACCGTTGGTCATCACCGTCCGGCACTGGTCAGTAGTGGTCAGTAGTGGTAGGAGCACTAGTCAGAACTGGTCAGTAGTGGTCAGTAGTGGTCAGTAGTGGTCAGTCAGGGTCAGCCCTGGTCAGTAGTGGTCAGCAGCGGCCGGCAGAGGTCAGCAGCGGTCCCCGGTACTCTTCTGGCCATTTGTACACTCCCGAATTCGCGACGCGACTGAGGAATTCTTCGCAGTGACCCTGCTTATCTGTCTAAGGTGATGAAAGGGTGGGGAGACCAGTCAGAGCCCAAGTTGAAGTTAACAGGTAAGACTGTCTTGTCTACAAAGAAACTATTTCGATTGGTCCCACCTCTTGACCATTTCTGGATCTTCACTGGACCGCTGACCTTGATGTCAACCTCACTGTTGACCACCAGTGACCATAAGCTAGTCATTGTTGATCATCGACTCATTAAAACCATTACGAAGATTCCTTCTTACGACGATTCCCTTACAATTTGATGCATGATCTTTTTAACATTTTGTTCCACTTTGGAAGGGTGTATCTCGTTAATTTTTGTCTTTTTGTACGTCAGTTTAAACAATTGCCATACGTAAGCGAAAAATTCGGAGGTGATTTTAGCGTACTCTTCTCATGGATGGCGGTCAGTTGAGAAACTATTCACTGTATTAGTATTACTAGGCAAAGAGCTTGTAGTTTGCGTAAATCCATGTGAGTTGACTATCGAAGGGATTAAAATTAATTTCTAAATATGTTGGTAACGTTGCGAGTGACACGAAAATGGTAATGGGGTCCCGGGACCCCAGAGAAACGGGCCGAAAAAATACATTAGGTGAAAGGTCTACTCATATACCTCGTCTGTGAATTAAATTCGTTTATAAAAGCCTCGCCCTCGACAACAAAATATTCAAGTTTGTAAAGAAATAGTTTCTATTCCTGTCGTTAGAGGACACCGCCACCTTCTGCTGAAATCAAACTACAACGCTGCCAACTATAAGAATTAAAACTAAATGCTACGATTTAATAAACGATCGAAGTATTCATCGCTTTGAATCTGACGAAGAAGCTAAACTGTACGAGAAAGATTGCAGCCATTTACTGATATTATTTGGTATGTGATTAATAATTACATTATACACGCGTCTGTGTCTACGTAACAAAAAAATGCATTAGATGTTTATTCTGTACTTCGCTCGTGCTTTTTACGTTTTCTAATTGTTGAAATCATCGTTGTTTAATGATCGTTTAAAGGACCTCTATAGCGCCCCAAATTGTGGAACACAGAGTTCCATTGAATGTTCTGTCTATCTTATAACTTGGTCTATATTTTAACTTGCTGGAATTAAAACTTTCGAGCAGCAATAGAAAAGGAAACGTAAATAAATGTGTTAGACAAACATGTTTTATTATATGCTACCTTTGTAAGTAGGGAGAAACAATTGTGAGATAGGAAATATAAATATTAAAAAAAATTAAGCTTCTTCTCATTTGTCAGCCAATACTGGATATGGTTGGGAGTGGACCAGAGGTATTGGATCTTGATCTTAATGAATCTTCTTTCGATGACGGTAGATTATCGATTTGCTAAATTAAAAGTTTAAAGAAACAGTTATAAATATAAGAAATTGATTGAAAAAATTGAAGTACAACTCCATAAATTATTCTGTCACAAGTAAAAACTAGAGGTGGGTGTCGGATCGAGTCGGGGCCCGCGAGCTTGCGATAGTATCGAAACTCGATCAGTATCGTAACGTAATTAATGCAGCTTGTATGCGACTCTGTTAAATGAATGCTTGAATAATCATTTTCAATTGATTGTAAATTATAATTCGACTTGACTTGAGCATTACCTAACCTGACTTCGATATCTCGCAAACTTTCGAGACCCTACCCGAACTCGAAATGTCGGGAACCCACCCACTCAACCCTAGTTACCAACCCAAGAATATCGTTGTTCCGGGGAATTACGAGACCTTGAATTACAATTAAGTTTAGCTGTAATTATATTGAAAAACAGGAATATAAAATTTATTGCGTCGCGTTGACCTAAAGTTACGTGAAAGATTAAATATGATTAGGAATCGGTGTTAAAAGGATTTGTTGACATAAGATCAAAGTCATTTACAATTTACTGTTTTGAAAAAAATGAAAATATAAAACCATTCATTGTGTAGAAATTACAAATTTTTCGAGTGAAAAATGCATGTATACTTTGCATTTATACAGCTTTCATGTACCATATATTTGCAGGGCATAATTTGATGCATTGATGTCAGTAATTAACATGTATTTAATCACTCTAAAGATTAAGCAATATCTTTAATCACCTCCTGTAATTCAGCATTTGTGAACATATGAAACAGATTCTCTGGCGTCATTATCATTAGTTCTATATTAGTATCGTTTAGTTTCTCTTCCATGACTTGTTTTAATATAGTTAAAGCAGCTTTGATTGCTTCTTTGAGCGTCATAGACTGTAATAAAAATTCTTAAATTTTTATCTGTTCTACATATGTATATATAGTGTATATTATATATATACGTATATACAGTAGTTCCGACTTAAATGTCCGCGGTTATTCCCGCCAATTCTTAAAAGCCAAGCGGCTTCGAACATCGAGCGTAACTTGACGCTGGTACTTATCCTCTTTCATTATCTCTGTTGAATTCTGAGAAGTAACCATGCCCACATAAATGACCGTGGCAAGTCCCGAGCGTGGTCACTTAAGTGGGCACTACTGTATATATCTCACATAGTAGCTTACTTTATGATAGACTTCTTGAAGGTTCTGTTGCGCGCCTTCGCTTCCCGAACCAATGGCTTTTGCATCAAACTGAACAAAGGTGCCCGAAGGGTCTATGTGATACAATTGAGGCCCTTTTTCATCAATACCAGCGAATAACATAGCTACACCAAACGGTCGTGACATAGCACTACCAGCATTGTCTCCGTCACTGTCTCCAAATTGTATGGCTAAATTAGAAACAGCTTGCGCTGTTGACTCCACGGACATTCTTTCATTGTAAACAAACCAATGATTTTGACATTCTGATCTAGCACGATCGATCATTGTTCTAGAATCAGCTATTAAGCCAGATGCAGCGCATCCAATATGCTTATCAATTTCTACTATTTTCTCTAATGTTGTTGGCTCCATTAGAGAAGAAGTAATACGCTTCTCAACAGCTAACACTACACCTTCCTTAGTTGCAATTCCTATGGCAGTGGAACCAAGTTTTATAGCTTCTATAGCATACTCAACTTGAAATAACCTCCCCTCTGGTGAGAAAGTGTTAACACCATGATCATACTCTGAACGTGTTAAAAACATCTAAAAATATAAAGATTACTTAATTATTCCAATCACCTCGTAATACTGTATCTAAACTAACTACATTTGCACACACAGTTTAAGGTTATAATTCAGTATTTTGCTCATTAATAGCTTCGTTGCTACTTTCACACAATTAATACATTTCGGTTGTAATCACAACGTATTTGTAGTTTTCTAGTTAATTCATCAATGACCGAAATAATTACAAAATTTAAACGATAAGAGGTTAGCTCGGAATGACATAGCAAAACCAATAGATTCACATTACTTATATATGTACAAAGAAATATAAATCCACAACAGTATAATATATCCATTTAAAATTAAGGATATTTACCTTGAAGATAGATTTTTCTTTCAATAAAAGTTGCTCGAAAATTAGTTTAAGCCGACTTGACAAACGCTAGTCATGGAGGGACTTGAATCTAATAACAGGAATAAATACATAGACGTACCTTCAAGTTTTAGATCCCTGGATCTATATACTCATCACTTATCACTAACTTCACACTATAATATTTTTTTCAAATTTTATAAATTTGTTGTTTTCTACCCATAACTTTAATTTACTGGAAACCCATGGCAAATGTGTTTAATGAATTTAATATATCGAACAAATGTATGGAAAATAGATGTAGTTTGTAATACACATAGTTAGTCAAAATATACACTTATTTTAAATACTCTTCGTGTTTTAAAACTATTATAAGTTATCAATCATAGTAAATAAATGTTTAAATTTTGTCAATTATTGTATACAAAAATTTAATACAATTATAACTACTACATGAGAATTGACCTTAATGATCGTCAATTTGAAAATGACCCTTGTGTATGCCCATGAATGAGGTTATGTTAAAGAATATACGTGTACAAATTACGTACAATTTTTGTTAAATAGTAAAAACCTTTACGTATTATCTATTTTTAATCGATAATAACACGATGAATATTACAGCTACTAATTTACTCCTAGAATTTGAAACAGCTTTCTCTCAACAAAATTGGAATAAATTATTAAGTCTTCTTAACCCTACACTATTCAGACCTCATGAAACAAAGTATGACTTAAACAAACATCGAAAATTTTACGATTATACGGATTGCAATAAATTTAACAAATTATTAACTTCCAGGGAGTCAATTACATTTTCAACCCTAGCAAAAGTAGCACAAATTCTTACAACAGAGGATCCTGTTATTCCAGCAAATATAAAAGTTGCATGCTTAAAATGTTTAGGGAATTCTTGCTTTATTCGTTACATAGACAAGGAATATATTCCAACAAATATTGAACATGGAATATATTGTCAGAAATTATATTCTACTCTAGCTACAAATAATGCAAATTTAAGGGAGGTTTCTGATTCATATGCACTTGTCTCTCATTTTCCTTATGATGGTGTCATCGAATGGACATTAAATTATATTATATTATGTAAAAATAACGAAGATCTATCAGATGAGGAGTTAGAAATACTCAGATTAAGTGTTCAGTTTTTATGTAATTTATTTTCATTTGGATATGAAGATAATAGTTTTTCGGATCAGCCTAACACACCAAAATGTTTATATGATGCAAATTTCAAAACTGCAATAATGTGAGTACAGTTAATTTAACAATTTTAAGTTATTGTTTTATTACCCTAAGTATTACAGTCCTAACTATGCATTTTGTGTTTATCCACAGAAATCTATTGCATTCCAAACATGTTCCACTTGTTAGAGTATCTTGTGCATTTATCCATAATATTTTGAAAAAATTTGAAGGAAAAAATTTCACAGAACCAGAGAAGATACATCTATGTTCTAAACTTTTAAAACCAGTTAAGGAAGGTTTTGAAAGTGCAAAGGAAGCTCTGATGTTTTTATTATGCCAATCAAATGTATTAGAAAATGCATACAGTGATATGGACATCAAAGACAAATTATATTTATTGGAGATGATTTACACAGAAATCTCAGAGGCCGTATACAAATCTAAAAGTGAAAATGTATTTACACAAGACACTATAGAGTTCCTATCAAAAAGGTTTTGCAAAAGGAGTGACTTAATATTGAAAACAGCAGACACATATTTGGATGAAATAGAACCAACAGAAATCATAATTCTTCTCGATATCCTAGGCACATTAACTTCTGCTTCATCCAAAGAATATCATTTTCCAAAGAATCACAAAAGCTTACTCATCAATTGCACTAGTAAGTACCTTGTAAAGCATATTTTCTTTAATATTTAACAAACATTTAACAGTACATATTTTTACAGATCTTTTGATATCTATACAAATGATTGGGAAAGAATCAAACAATTACTTTACACCAATGCAAAAGTTAAGTGACTTAGTACCAGTATCACAAAGAATAACTGAAGAGGATGAATCAAAAGTGAATGTTGCTGCAACCAAAGGGAATGAGAAAGAAGTTAACTCAGAGAGAAATGACCTTTACAGCCACCCTGCATTTGGTTTTAAAGCTGGATTGATCAGAGTTATTGGTAATATATCGTACAAAAACGAAGAGTGCCAAGACCTGGTGAGTACCAATTTCTTTCGATTTATTTGCTCGTAACTCCGAGCAAATAAAATTATCATTAAATTTTTACCTACTATTTATCAAATGATTTCGAATTATTATATTAATGTAACAATTTAGTCTAAAATGACATTCACACGGTACAATTGCGAGTAAATTTTATCGAACATTGCCGATTGCGTTACCTCCTATCGATAGACAAGCTGTTTCGATTATCTCGATCGAGCGTCCGTAACGTAGCGCTTGAAAATGGCGGCGGTGGCGATTCAAACTATGGCGCAAGGTGCAGTAGATAAACAGGGACACGAAATACCAGCGATAAATAAAAAACAAACATAACGATTCTTTTTAATCGGTTGTTGATCCGATCACTTTTTACAGCAGTCTTATATTCTTTTTCTGTACTCTCGTCTTTCAGACGGATTATTCATTTATCAAACACCCATATCGTACCTTTTTATGCTATAGATCATTTTCTGACACGCAAAAGGAACGCACCGAATACAAATGTTAAGTTCGAAATAACTTGCTCGGTTTTTATTGCCTCTCGCGCGTACAGGGCCCCGAGTGATCGCTATTGCCTCTTATTGATTCCATCTCTTACGCGGTGGAGATGGTACAAAAGAACTAACCGATCGTACCAGCGCGCACTGTTCGCCGCGAACAAAGGAAAATTAAGTATCCTGTCCGGCTGGAAGACGCGGCAATTTAGCCAGCATCGGATACTGCGTTAATACATTAGCGAGATCGAAGTACGGCCGCTTTCTGTTACATTCCAATAATTTTATTGGCCTGGCACTCCGAGCGCAGAAGCGTGAATACGAGGGCCTCGCCTTTTATCCCTCGTTCCTCCCGCTTCTTTCTCTTCTTCTTCTTTCGAAGTGTCGAAGGCAATCGTGTTCTTAAATTTCATTCTGTAAATGCGCGTCCCGGTTCTTTGGGCGCGATTGTAAACCGCATGTTTGCCTCGCGATTGGCTGCAAAATTACGCGACGCTCTCTTGCCTTCGCACTGTCACAATTTTAAAAAATGCTCCCAGGTATGTAAATGGAATAGAAACTTTTTTATTTTAATCTTTAACTTGGAAATAAACACAAACAGTTTTTTGAGTTGTATCTGAATAAAAAATTGCATGAAACGTCTATAGCGTTGACTCGAATCTATTAACCCGTTCAGCAATCGCGAGAGACGCGTTCCAAGGTTCAGCGTTATTTCTCCGGATGATGGTCCGCGTGGCATATTTTCTATAAAAGCAAACAGAAGAAAAATATACCGTGCCCCGGTGTTTATGCACGGTGTCGTTCGGTTTACGCGGCGTCTCCGGGCATTATACGACATAATATCATAAGCGTTCGCTCGGCACGGGGCATAAGTTCTCATGACGTTGAACATTTTCAGCTCCGTGAAATGGACGCCATACCTCTGCTTCTGGACTGCTGCAATATAGACGCGAGGAATCCGCGTAAGTACCAGAAGGCCACGTTCCGCGTAAATAAATATTATTATATGTGTATCGCGATTACGCGGCCGCGATACGAATGATATTTCAACTAATTAACGCCGCCCGTTACGCGGTGCGATTAAACGTTTTAACGCGCAGTTATAATGCAATGGACGATCCTGGCTCTGCGGAATTTATGCGAGAATAATACCAGGAATCAAGAGATCATACGGAATTGCACGAGGACCGGAGTCGTGGAGAGCAGCGTGCTGCGGGAAATGGGAATGACGTTGCACGAGGACGAGGAAGGAAAGAAAATTGGTATCGTACCCTTGACTCCAAATAAAAATTAATATTATTCAACTGCTTCGATACGCAGCTCTGCTAATTTTTCGAACAAATGACGCATTGTGTCATGAAAAATTAAAGAAAAATTGTAAAATATGAACATTTCATTTCCTTTTTTTATAAAAACCTTGTATTTAATTCCTTTTCAGTTATTCTAAAACAAAAATCCCAATACTCAATAACTTAAATAAAGATAGTGGTAGATTTAGAAGAGCTGAAAGGGGCCCAGAAGATCGATCAAAATTCGAGAATCTCGCTAGAAATATTAGAGTCACGCGATTAAAATTTCGATGATAGATTTTTTTAATCAACGTGGAGGGAGTTCGAGTGCACGAAGCTCCTTATATTAAAAGATGCTAATAAAAGTGTAGAGTGTTTGAAATATTTATTCGTAATTTGAGAACTGTTCCGCGCGCTTATGGCGGTGATCGTTTTCTTCAAACGGGATCGCTGGTTAAGCGTATAGTTACGACTCGAGTTAATTATTTTACTATTTACTGCCACAGTCGTGTGTACACTGATAGCTCACCGGATAAGGTATCTGTGATCTCTTTATCGAGACTTAGGCGCAATAATTATTCGAGTTAGGCCGACTGCAAACGTATCTCGCCGCGTGTCGACTGTAAAATAAGCCTACAATTATAGTACATGATAGGTACCATTACATGAAATATGATATCGTATTGCATAAAGAGACATTATATCTGCATTCATGGCTGAGTGATTTACGGTACAATAAAAGCTGCGCGGAGTTCACGGTCTATTAGCAGTTACTAATGCAGCTGTTCGACTCTGTGTCAGCATCTATCATCCGAATCCGTTTTAAAGGAAAATTTATTTCGCACGAATGACCCGTGCCCGGTAACATCTTATTAATATGGGAAATATTATTTGGTTCATCGTTTATCGTTTACTAAACAAAAGCTTAGTCAGTCTATAAAACACTTTGTTCTATATATCATTTAAAAATTGTTTTACAAGTAACATGCTTCAACACCTTCATTATCTTTACTTTTCACAGTTAGTACTAATGTATCTAAACATCATGTAACTAATACTTAAGTTTAGTATAGTTAAAATAGTTTTAGAACTATGAAAGATGATATGGAATTTTTAAGAATAATGTTCTGATAATAGTTGTAATAGAAGTGGAAAAATATAAGATTTTTATTGGAAGAATATTCATTTATATTAAAATAGAAGTGTTATTCCACTGCCACGAATGCAAGCTTAGGATTGTCTGCATTAATCAGTCCTGATTTTGTTTATTTCTTTCTGTGACCGTTTCTACGCCTCGACTTGCTTTCCTTTTAAAGGCGGGACTCATTAATTATTCTACTTTTCCTCTGCATTAATATTTATAAGTCTCAACAGCCGGATATTTAAAAAAAAAAGGAAATACGAAAGAAAGTGTATCAAAATGTAGAAACTAATCATTTATGCTTATAAAACATTTCATTTTTAAGTGGATTTTAGCAAAACTGATAATAATTCCGTGAAAATATTGAAAATTCATAAACGATGTACAAATGTGTTGTGCAGTCTTGAATCCAGTTAGGGTTTCGTCGAGAAATATAATAAACATTAACATATAAATCCGTTTCGAAATTTTTCATTAAAAATCGACATTTACAGTATTGAAGAAAAAAATGTAAATATTTCCAATGGTTTCCAAGAAAACAGGCTGTTAGCAGTTTACCTGGCCTACTTCGAATAAAATATGTCTTCCTTCTCGCGAATCGTTCGTACCGGAAGTATCGAAACGCGAGTATTTTCCTTTCTAATGAAATACCACCAACGTTGCCCGCTATCAACGATATCCAGAAGCGTACCATTTCAGATAGAAATCGATAATTAGATCGATAGCCGGACGGAAATTCGTTCCGCGTGAGTCACGCGGTGTAAACGTTTTACAAAATATAATGATACGTTTCTATCAATATACGCGCGCGATTCGCGATCTGATCGCGTGTAACCAATCGTTCGATGATCGATGGTCCATTGTACGTAAAGAATTTTATCGTTTCATCGCCATTCGTCATCAGTTACGACACTCCGTTGGTTCCTTAAAACTATTTATAGATTTCACGATTCCATAAAATCAAGATCTGGCATTCCTTGTTCGCGATATTAATTGAAACAATTAAAGTACGTGTTGTTATCGTGACGAGTGCTGAAAATGATTTTAGAACGCCAAAGTTATCATCGGCGAGGGCACCAAAATTATTAATTTCGTCGAAGCGGGGCTCGGAGAAGGTTTAAAGGGCGTGCCCGTGAGAAAAAGCAGAACGCGAGAGGACGAACCGCTGGGAGATTGCTTTTAATTTAAATATCAAGCCATCTCGAACGATTAATCTTGAGTAGCCATAACGGCTAGCAATTAACGCGAAATTTATCATCTAATTATACGCGTTAATTGTGCCTGGGTAATGATTCCTTTATGAAGCGGGACCACGATGCAAAAGAACAGAGAGAAGAGGAGGGAAAGATTCATGCTTGTTACACCTTGACGTGTTCGAGAAACGCGACCTGCGATGAGAAATTAAGCAACTTGGAATCCCGTGTGCCACGAAGACGAGAGTGACGATGCCGACTTATAATTAAAACAAGAGAAATTTGAAGAGCTTAAGTGGTTCTGGACAGGAAGTATTAATTCTCGAGGAAAGGGTTGCTGTGTCTAGCGTACGAAAGCTCTTTAAGCTTCGAAGTCTATTTCTGGTACGAATCAAAAGGTTGTTTTATAGGAAATAATTTATTTAATTAGATATGTGGTAAATAAGAATTGATTTACGTTTCTCTCTACTGGGACAGCTATAGCAACAAACATAACACGTATTACAGCTCTAGTTTCATTTATGGCAACACAAATTGAATTCAGGAAATATACGAATAAATTTAAAATTATTTATTTTCGCGGAGAAAGGAATATTTTTAAAGCTTGAATAAATCGTCTATTTTAAACGAAACTCGAAAGGGAGATTATTCCATCCACCAACTGCTTCAACCTCAGCCTACGTGCCGCTTCCGCGTAATCTGAATTAATAAACCGCAGAACGCAACATTCAATTAGCTCGAGCGATCGGTGATTGCGTAGAACACGAAAAATGACCGATGCAAATTGGGTGCAAAGAAGCGGAACAGTAAATTGGCGAATTGAGCATATGTCGGTGCCTAATAAGTCGTGGATCCCTTTCTAAGCGAGCCATGAATCAAAGGAAACCTGCGCGACTGCGCGATACCTTTCCGAAAGAGCCGACACGCGATATACTGGGTGTAGCACGAGGGAAGGTGATGGATCGTGGTCACGGAAACAATGGAAAAAAGTTGGTACGAACGCGTGCCCTTATTTAATCCCGCTACCAAGTTCGGACTCGTGGCCATTTTCGTGCTCCGGAAATGTGCAGCTGCTTTCATTGAAAGTGCTCGAAATGGCTACCCTCGAAACGCGAGCCTGTAATTGTCTTTGGAATTTCCCAATGGTTCGAACATTCCGGGTATTTATTGAATTCGTTGGTAATACCTATTGTCGAACTATTAGGTAACGTTAAAATATGGTTAGCTGGGTTCTACGAAGCTTTACGAGGTTAATATTAGAACTATCGATAATTATGGTGTATTTATTTGTACCAAAAAAATTGAAGAAATGTATAAATGTTTACTCATTTTCTTATAAAAAAAACTATAGTAAATTTTAAAAAATCGAATCGAGTATCTCTTTTGCAATATTTGTTAGAAACTACGAATTTTGACCAGTTTGATATTGTTAGTGTTAGTGTGTAAAAATTTTGGGAACGCGAAAGAACGAAACGAGCGGCTCTGTGTTTGCTAAGGATTTTACGGTGACCATTGTCCTTCCATAAAACAGAGGGGAACTCTTTCTGTCTCCTAGATGCGATCGTTGGCTCGATCGGGGTTGACGATAGTCCGGAAAAGATGGCGGAAACGCGTCTAGCGACCGTGGCCAGGGCTTGCATCCAGTCGTTATGAGCCACGAAATGTGTTTTAACGACTGCCGCACACTGTGTATGAGCCATAAATGTTACGTCGAGCCGGAGATTCGTGTAATAGCCACTAAAAGCAACCTTCGGCCCTTTATGGACCGTAAAAGCTCGGATATTTGGAACGAGGAAACCGTCGCTTAAACTTAAGGAGAGTGAATCGCGATCGGGGATGCCTCCCTTGTCTTCCGAGACCGTCTTTGCAAAAAACGAACCTTCTTCTTTAATCAAACACGACGTGGATACGCTCTATCAAATTCCTCAACCCGTCAACCGACGGAGACGTATTAATTTGCCATCTTCGAATTATTTCTGTTCATTTATTTAAATATTTCTGTGTTAAATTGCATTTGCTGTGTGTCGAGATCCATTACAAATTAACGATCGAATTTAAAGGAATTAAATTATTATGTATCTTAATCGTTGAATGTTGATGATTTTTAATATCCGAAACGGGATAGTAACGCATTTGATATAATTTTCACCGTTACGCGTTAACTTTAATATTTGATAATGGTTAGCGAGAAACTTAATTATCATTTATCTTCGAGAAAACGAAACGCGTTTCGTTCGAGTCAGCAAAGGAACTGTGAAGTAATCCGGCCGGTAGGAGATCGCTTTGCAACAAGTAGGCCAATAAATTAACATCGTTAATGAGCCGCTAATTACACGCCGTCCGACGGATCGTTTGATTTATACGAGATTAAAGCGCATGCGTTGCTCGCGCACCTGTTAATTTACGTCTAATTAAATTTTAGACTTTATTCAGGAAAAGTCGACTCGCGAATCGAATATAATATAAACAGGTACATCGTTTGACAAATGTCTTCGATGTTAATGAAAATTAAAATTGAGTCCCGTCGATCGTGTTGGATAAACAATTCGTTCGAGCATTTGAGCTTTTATAATCATTTTTTACGAGCGTACGAATTGATACACTTTCATACATTTGTACAATTTTCATCGTTAATTTTAGGCGAAGACAAGTGTTCTAAACTATACTATAA